GACAAGCTCACACCATCCACCCCTCACATATGCCCTTGTTCCCAGAGGGAGGAGGTACCAAAATAATCAAGAGAATATGCTTAAAATTCCAAAATCTTAATTAAACAAACACCTACAGTATAATCCATATGAATCATGTCAGTGCCACTCTAATATTTTCATTTATTAAAACTGAATTTGTTTTTTTGCCAAAAAATTTGATAGCTGCTAATGTATGGATGTGTTTGTATGTTTCAGAACATAAAAGTTGTGATTATTGTTAAAAATGTTTTTTTTTCTTGCAACAAGAAATCTACCCAAAAAAGTAAACCAAAAACCCCAAATGTACTCTACAAAATTTTCATTTGTTATTAGCATTCTGGTGCACCATTCAACTTTTTGTGCATAAATGATCCCCTAGGTGATTGTAAAAACTCCAACTGCAAATTTAGTTTATAGAGTTCAGATTTTACTAGTACCCCCCGAAAAAAACCACAAAGTTTGTTTAATCATCTTTGTATGTAGTTTTTGGGGCACCATGTATTTATGTACACATTACAAATAATCAAAAATTATTCAAAATGTCCAAAGAGGTTGAGAAGAGTGCACTTGCATTATCACACTTTTGTTCACAAAATATTGTTTACGATTTTTTTAGATGGTGATGTTCAAGTGGACAAAGATAAAAATGAAACTCAAACAGAAACAGAAAGTACATATTTTACTGCACCAGCTGATTCAAACTCAAATAAAGACAAAGAAACCAGACGTTTACCAGTAGCTACAATAGATGAGGCTGGTGCCATAAAATATATCAATGAATCATTCAGCCACAATATAAACAAAGTACACAGTTTCTACTCGTGCAAAAACAAGAAATGTACCAACCTGAATCCAGATGAGGTGAAGCGTATCAGTAAAAAAGGAGATCGTTTTCAACATGCTTGGATAACAGATAATAAATTAACTTACTGTGAAAAAAGGGATATAATTGGCTTATTTACGAGGAAGGTGAGGGCATGTTCTGTTTCATTTGCCGAAAGCACAATACTGAAAATGAAAAAAACAAGTGCAAGAAGTTTAATCTTCAGGCTGGAATCCGCTTTAAACGTAAAGCAGTAGAGGAACATGCCAATAGTCAACAGCAAAAAGCTGCAATAATGTGTGAACTGATTAACAGAACCTCTCCATTCCAGGCAGAACTTGACAGGAAAGAACAGAAAAACGACGCTGTGTATTACAATGCTTTTCTGACAATATATTGGCTAGCAAAAGAAGAGTTACCAAACTTCAAAATTTCCAGCTTTTTGGATGTGCTTGAACAATTAGAATTGACAGATATGAAATATTTTCAGCATCGCTCAGCTGGATCATTCAGAGAAATGTTCTTAGCGCTGGGGTATCAAATTAAATCACAAGTGGCAGAGAAGTGCAGAAAAGCAAATTGGTTTGGATTACTGTGTGATGAAGTTTGCGACATTTCTAATCAAGAACAGTTGCTAACTTTCATTAAGTATGCTGACCCACAAACCAATAAAGCTACAACAGATTTTCTGTCTGCAAATGACCTGTTTCAGAATTCACAGTCAGCAGATGCCAATACCATTTGGACTGTTCTCAATAAACAACTTGAAGATAGCAAATTGGAAAAATCTAAGCTTGCAAGCTTTGCAAGTGATGGAGCATCTGTGATGACAGGAAAGAAGAATGGCGTGGCAGCTAAACTTCGCTCAGATAACAAGCCTCTTATAAATGTTCACTGCATTGCCCATCGATTAGCTTTGGCTTGTGGCGATGCAAACAATTCTGTTTCATACATACTAACAATGGAGAAAATTCTCAACAACTTTGGTCCCTTTTCAAAAACTCGCCGAAAAAAGCTGCAAAATATGCAAAGGCTGTAATGAATGCAAGTGAACTTGGAGTCACTAATGCTATGACCAGACGTGGAAAGAAGAAACTAAGTAAGCGTTTTCACAAAGCCTGCAGGACCCGTTGGATGTCCACCGAAAGAGCTATAGAGGGGGTCTATAACGATTTCGCAGCATTGACACAAACTCTTCGACAGTTAAAGGAGGAGAATGACTCGGCAGCAATTGGTCTTCTGAAACAAGTAGGAAAAGTCAAATTCCTAGGTGCTGTATATTTGCTCAACGAAGCAATCCCAATTCTTGCCCATCTCAGCAGAGCCTTTCAAAAAGGAGCTGTTTCGTTTGCAGCCATTGATCCTGCCATTAAGTTTACTTTGGATGAACTTGATCTTTCAGAGGGTGGCAGACTTTCCCAATGTGATATGCGACCACTTGTAGCTTCGGATGAGAAGCAGCTCACAACTTTGGCGAAGGCTTATGTTGCAGCTTTAAAAGATAACATTAACAATAGATTTGATGGAAGCATCCCAGTCTTAACAGCCTTCAGAATCTTCAATCCTTTAGCTGTCCCAAACAGGTCGGAGCCAGTATTTAAAGAGTATGGTATGAAGGATATTGTTATTTTGGCAGATCATTTCTACCAAGAAATGGAGGTCAAAGTCGAAGATGAAAAAAAAGAAGAGCTAATATGCGAGTGGAGAAAGTTCAAATATAATCTTCTGTCCATCAAGGATGATATCCCAGCCGAGATACTGACGCCACCAGTGAAGAGGAATCTGATTGCCCAAACACCGACAGAATGGGTGCTTGAATACCTTATGAAAATGCGAGCAACTTTCCAGTATCTTTTCCCTCTCCTGTTGGAAATGGCGGAGTTGTGCTTGTCCATTCCTGTGAGTAGTGCTTGGCCAGAACGAGGAGCTTCTTGTGTCAAGAGAGTGAAGACGCGAGTAAGGTCGCGCTTAAAGAATGACATGCTGGAATCGCTACTCCATATTTCCATCAACGGTCCAGAAGTAAAAGATTCAACAGCATTAATCGATTCTACTCTGAAGCAGTGGCTCGCAAAACCAAGGCGAAAGATGTCCATTGCAAATAAACGACCATCTAACGCAGAAGGGAGGGCACATTGTGTAGATGTGTCCATACAGGTTGGTTCTTCTGACACTGTCAATGTTCATGATCAGGAAATGGAAGATGAATCGTTATGTGAACAAGAAGAGTTTGAAGACAACGCTGGAATGATGGGGACTGAGGAAGAGGTGGATGCTGCTGCCAACTTATTTAAATTACCAGCAGTAGATCTGGAAGAATACGACACCGACAGTGACGTCGAGGACAGTACTGATAGTGATTACGATAGTTCAGATTCAGATTAACTTGTTATTCAGATTAATTCAAATTTTAGTTCAGAAAAGAATTATAAACATTGTCAACAGTTAAATTTACATTAAACACTTTTCATAAAATTATTTTTTTTCTATCATAAGATGAAATCTACAATGTTGCATCTTTATCCATTGTATTTGCAAGCAGCGTTTCTACCGAAAATAGCCTTTCGCACCCTCAGAAAATCTCTACTTTTGTTCTTCATGTAGAAACCTGCTAATTTCTAAACAAGAAACTGTAACTTTTTAGACAAAAAAGTTTGTTTTCTGACCATTGCAATTCTACGAGAATTTTCGCCAAGAAGCCGCCAAGTGTTCCACCACGCCGTAAATAAAATAGCGTGATGTCCAGGTGTATTCCGGGAAAATGTCGTGATATTCCGCCATATTCCGTGATATTCCGGCATATTCCGTGATATTCCGGCATATTCCGCCATATTCCGTGATATTCCGGCATTCCGGGTTTTCACAACGCCCCCAGACTCGTCCCCAGTCGTTATTTGAAGTTCAATTTCATAAGGACGAATAGGTATATATCCATAAATATATATATAGATCAGTACCAAATGTGGACGCGCGCAAGGGGAAAAGGGAAAGCGAGGGAAAAAATATCGCCCTTCCCGTGAGCCTCTACGCGCCCACTTCTGGCCGCGCGCCCGCTCTTAAAGCGACTGGGGACGAGTCTGCAACGCCCCCTTGCGAGGTGCGTGTCTAGAAAATAGAACCTAGAAAAGGTTGTCTGGAAAACGCGTGCACGTACACGCGTACACGTACACGCGTACATGGAAAACGCGTACATGGAAAACGCGTACATGGAAAACGCGTACATGGAAAACGCGTACATGGAAAACGCGTACATGGAAAACGCGTACATGGAAAACGCGAACATGGAAAACGCGTACATGGAAAACGCGTACATGGAAAACGCGTACATGGAAAACGCGTACATGGAAATCGCGTACATGGAAAACGCGTACATGGAAAACGCGTACATGGAAAACGCGTACATGGAAAACGCGTGCAATGTTTATTTGTAACGTTAATTAATTAAAACTTGGCGATTTTATTGGAAGTTCTCTTGCAGACCTAGTGATTGTGTCAATGATGGTCAGATGACTCAGAGAGAGACATGAGTTTATTTGAAAAAATATGTAGCAACCCAGACCACCCTTTATACGAACTACTTCCTCCTAAAAGACAAAGACCGTTAAGAGAACGCGAACACGATTTCATATTACCTAAGGTTAAAACAGAAAGATTCAAACGGTCGTTTTTAAATAGGTGTCTTTTTAATAATTTTAGCTAAAATAATTAACTTAGATACATAATAATAACTTAGTCTTAGTCTTTTTAAGAATTCTACCTAAGAATAATTAACTTAGATACATAATAATAATTAAGTTTATTATTTTTTTTTGGAACCTTGTATATGAGAATTTTAAATGTAAAGTCACACGTCTGTTGTGGCTATGTTTAATAAAGACTTAATAATAATAATAATAATAATCATGGCCTCCGTGAAGGACAACTTCACAGTGGACTACGTAATGTTTAGTACTTTCATTGTGTTCCAACATGCGTCCAGAAAAAGCTGCCGTATTTCCAACCACTTCACGCTATTATCCCATGCACGTAAGATAATGTCACTTCTCCGCGATGAACATTGGAGATATATTAATCACCACATTCGGAAGCCTCGCAATCCAATAAAGAAACATTTAAAACTATGCACTGACGCTTACAGACTGATTATCTATTATTTTAAATTGTTAAGGTTTTCTTTAGCATATAGTTTATTTATCATTTATAGACCCGAAGCGAGAGGGATTCGGCGAAATATTACCCGAAGTGATGATATTTATTTAATATTTGAAATATCATCACTGAGGGTAATGCTTCGACGAATCCCCCAAGCCCAAGGGTCTATAAATGATATATTATACCGAAGGTAAAAGACACCACGATAATAAGTTCAGAATAAACTTTAAAACTTGCTGAATATTAACTATAAAGTGAATACAATTTTTAATTTCTTATGTATACCTGTGTTTTGACGTTTTCTCTTTAAAATATTTGAGCATGTATTCTTTGGATTATTGAAGGTAACGTACAGTACGTCTTAAAAATTTTTGGTTACAGTAAATCAATAAATCTGCATGTACGCGCCGGTACGAAATTACAAACAACAGCTCGCGAATGCCATGTTCTTTAAGAGCGTGCATAGTATCCTTTCGTCGTGTGTGAGCGTGAGATACTATAATATCCACCACAGTGGATCTCACGCTGCATTGCGAAATCATGAATTTGAGTGAAATACCGTAAAAAACACATTGTCACGTGTTACGAATGCGGTTCTTTTATAGGACAATTTGAATTTAAGGTATAATATATTTTATTGCTTTTAGTTTACAGTTAACTATGTAGTTTTTTGCTGAATCGTGCACCATAATTTATTTCAATACATCAAAAATAATCCTGCCTCACAACTTGTCCTGGCAAAGTAGGATCATATAAATGTGTTCAGCCCCTTATCCTGCATGCTGCCTGGCTTTGATCTCTTAGGGGCGAAGCAGCAATTTCTTTGCGATAGTAACTCCTAGTATCTTTTATATATAGACAGTTAGGCTCTCTGGCTCTGTTGTGTTAGTTTGATCTCATCATGTTATGTCACCATGTCGTGCTACGGCATGTAAAGGTTTGGGCCGGTTATGTCATGTCATGTCATCTCATCTCATGTCATGTTATGCTAATATGTTATGCTATATAAAATTACATTAGGTCGCCCCACATCGTCCACAGTTATATAATCTGTCCACAGTTGCTAATGGTGAGAAGACACTGTAGATGCTATATGTACTTGCCGGGGCAATTTTTGGCATTTTTTGCAAGTAAACATGTAAATGGCGTTATGTTTTTCGGTTACATTTGTTTTGTCTTTATGATTAGTAATTACACTTGGATCTAACCAACATGCAAACTGAGATCCAAGTTTACTATAATCATAAAGACAAAACAAATGTAACCGAAAAACATAACGCTATTTACATGTTTACTTGCAAAAATTGCCCCGACAAGTACATATAGCATCTGTTGTCCTGCTCACCATTAGCAACTGTGGACAGTTATAACTGTGGACGATGTAGGGCGACCTAATGTAATTTTAAATAACATAACGCAACGCAACGCAACCCCAAACCCTTATTAAATTAGGTCTAAGACATAAACTAGGCTAACTTTACATGCCGTAGCACGACATGGTGATATAACATGATTAGATCAAACTAAGGGGCCATTCACAAAGAATGTCGAGCCGAGGGGGAGGGAGGGGTATTTGGAAAATCAGGACAAACTCAGACATGGGGGGGGGTTCAGCAATCCGGATGTCCGAAATTTAAAAAAATTCAAAAACAAATTTCTTTTTCCTCTATTTTGAACTCTTGGCATTTTGAACATTTTATAATATTATCTAATTCTTTCCTTCAATACATTTATAGTTATAAAAAAGTTCTAAAAGTAAACTTGACATATACAAGGTTGCGTGAGTTTTAGCGAGGCATGGTGGATGTCCGGGGGGGGGGTCACTAATTCGGACAATGCCGGACAAGGGGCGGAGAGGGGGGGGTCTGAAAATCCATCATTTGGCCGGACATCCTTTGTGAATGGCCCCTAACACAACAGAGCCAGAGAGCTTAAGTGTCTATATATAAAATATATTATAAATCAAATTCAAATTGTCCTATAAAAGAATAGCATTTGTACTACGTGACAATGTGTTTTTTTACGGTATTTCACTCAAATTCATGATTTCGCAATGCAGCGTGAGATCCACTGTGGTGGATATTATAGTATCTCACGCTCACACACGACGAAAGGATACCATGCACACTCTTAAAGAACATGGCATTCGCGAGCTGTTGTTTGTAATTTCGCACAGGCGCGTACATGCGGATTTATTGATTTACTGTAACCAAACGTACGTTACCTTCAATAATAGAATAATCCAAAGAATACATGCTCAAATATTTTAAAGAGAAAACGTCAAAACACAGGTATACCTAAGAAATTAAAAATTGTATTCGCTTTATAGTTAATATTCAGCAAGTTTTAAAGTTTATTCTGAACTTATTATCGTGGTGTCTTTTACCTTCGGTATAATATATCATTTATAGACCCTTGGGGGATTCGTCGAAGCATTACCCTCAGTGATGATATTTCAAATATTAAATAAATATCACCACTTCGGGTAATATTTCGCCGAATCCCTCTCGCTTCGGGTCTATAAATGATAAATAAACTATATGCTAAAGAAAACCTTAACAATTTAAAATAATAGATAATCAGTCTGTAAGCGTCAGTGCATAGTTTTAAATGTTTCTTCATTGGATTGCGAGGCTTCCGAATGTGGTGATTAATATATCTCCAATGTTCATCGCGGAGAAGTGACATTATCGACATTATCTTACGTGCATGGGATAATAGCGTGAGGTGGTTGGAAATACGGCTGCTTTTTCTGGACGCATGTTGGAACGCAATGAAAGTACTAAACATTACGTAGTCCACTGTGAAGTTGTCCTTCACGGAGGCCATGATCTGACCATCATTGACACAATCACTAGGTCTGCAAGAGAACTTTCAATAAAATCGCCAAGTTTTAATTAATTAACGTTACAAATGAACATTGTATACGCGTTTTCCATGTACGCGTTTTCCATGTACGCGTTTTCCATGCACGCGTTTTCCATGCACGCGTTTTCCATGCACGCGTTTTCCATGCACGCGTTTTCCATGTACGCGTTTTCCATGTACGCGTTTTCCATGTACGCGTTTTCCATGTACGCGTTTTCCATGTACGCGTTTTCCATGTACGCGTTTTCCATGTACGCGTTTTCCATGTAAGCGTTTTCCATGTACGCGTTTCCATGTACGCGTTTTCCATGTACGCGTGTACGTGCACGCGTGTACGTGTACGCGTGTACGTGCACGCGTTTTCC